AATCATTTTTTGAGTCCAGCATTGCCCTAATAACAAAACCAGAAAAAGACATTGCAAAGAAAGCAAGCTATAGACCAGTGCCCTTCATGAACATAAATTTTAAAACTCCAGGGATTGGAAACCAATTTTGTGGCTAGGTGACTTATACAGTCACATGTTGCTGCACTCTTGTAAGAAGGGACCCTTTTCTTGGCTTAATGCCCTGCTGTTGCCATCTTGAAGTTCTTCACAGTTTTATCTTTGAACTTGGGATTCGTATGTGAAGTCTGATGGACCTGGACTGTGTGCGCAAGTAGACAGGATACTTGAGAGGTAGTGCCCTACCAAGCTAGTCTGTGTATTAAGGCCTGGGAGTGTCCTGGAATTGTGTGTGGGTGGCCAAGGCCATGACCTTTGTCCACATTGGTGGCAGCAGCAGCAAACTCACAAATACTTGCATCCCAGAGAGGACCCATAGTGTGAGGCTGGCTTGCTCGTCTCTTCCCTGAGCCTGTCGCTTTGACATCATAGAAAATATTAATTTTTGGGGGCTAAATACTGGTACAGTAACCTCCAGCTTTCAGGCAGTCATCTTGTCAGTAAAGTATTAGAAAATAAAAGCATACTTGTGGGCATTGTGTTAAGGCAGACTAGGCAGTTACTAGAATTCTTTGGAGTGTAGATTTTTTGGGTTTAAGAACTGCTGCAACATTGCAAAGCAAATATCTACAGGCTTAGAAATAGGAATTTCATTTGATGGGAGAGAACATTATTTTTACATGAAATTTTGGATGAATCAAGTGTTAACAAATAAGTCAATTCTGGCCAGGCACAGTGGCTCAAGCCTGTAATCCCAGCACTTTGGGAGGCTGAGGCAGGTGGATCACGAGGTCAAGAGATCAAGACCAACCTGGTCAACATGGTGAAACCCCATCTCTACTAAAAATAAAAAAAATTAGCTGGGCTTGGTGGCACATGTCTATAATCCCAGCTACTTGAGAGGCTGAGGCAGGAGAATTGCTTGAACTTGGGAGGGGGAGGTTAGAGTGAGCCAAGATTGTGTCACTGTCCTCCAGCCTGGTGACAGAGCTAGACTCCATGAAGAAAGAGATAGAGATAGAGAGAGAGAGAGAGAGAGAGAGAGAGAGAAAGACAGAAAGAGAGCGAGCTCCGGTAATGATTGCATCAGCTGAAAAATCAACCTTCTCAAAATTAAAAATTACTTATCTTGCATTTGCCAAGAATACATGTTACTTTCAATTATATGTTGAAAATGAAGTTGCTAAAAATATAAATTTTGATGACTTAATAAATGAATTTGCAAAGAGTGCCAGAAAATCTTATGATCAATCAAGATATCATATTAACAAATGATTAGAAATCATTGTATTAAAGTTATTACAACAAAACTTCTTTTGTGATTCGTAAATTTGCTGTTACATATTTCTATTATAACATTTTACAAGTAATAAAGTACTTTTTTAAAAGCATAATTTATTCTACCTTTTACTATACTTTTTATACATTCTGAGTAACTGACCTCACATTTTTATTTTGCACTGGCCCATCAATTATGTAGTCATCTCTGTCCTGTATTAAAAAGAAACAATAGAAAAACAGTCAAAGCCATATGACCATTTCAATATATGCAGAGAAAGCATTTGATAAAATTTAGCATCCATTTCTGATGAAAACTCAAATGAAGAATAGAAGATAACTTTCTTTAATCTGATAAAAGTCATCTACAGAAAATGTATAATTGACCTTGTATGTAATTGTGAAAAATGGAATGATTTCTTTCCAATATCAGGAATATGACACGATGTGCACTCATAGTTGTTATTGTAAATATATACTACCCAGTATAACCAGGAATGAAAAAACAGGAGATTAAAGTGGAAAAGAAGTAGAAATGTCTTTATTTACAAAAGATATTATTATCTATGTAGGAAATCTAATGGAGTCTCCCAAGATACGGGAAAAATAATGAGTAGAATTATTGAGTGTAGCTAGGTGGTAGGATAAAAATATGTAAAAATGAATTTTACTTCTATATATTAGCAATGATCAATTGGAAACTGAAATTTTAAAAAGTTCAATTTGTAATAGTTTCAAAAATATTTTCTTTGCAGCTCTGTCTGGCAAAAGTTGTGAAAGACCACACTGGAAACAATAATCTACTGCAGAGAGAAACTGAAGTTTTTCTGTTCATTGAGAAAGGCTCAGTATTGAAAAGTCAGAAAGCTCATTATTGTTAACATGTTTTCTCTTTAAAATGACTTACAGATTCAAAATAATATAATTCCATGTAGTAATTAGCAGGATTTCTCATAGTAATTGACTATGTAATTCTAAACTTTATGTGGAAATATACACAGGAATAATTACAACTTTGAAAAATAAAAGCTGAAAGTCTGGGTGCAGTGCCTCATGCCTGTAATCCCAGCCCTTTGGGAGGCTGAGGTGGGCGGATCACCTGAGGTCGGGAGTTCGACACCAGCCTGACCAACATGGAGAACCCCGGTCTCTACAAAAAATACAGAAGTAGTTGGGCGTGGTGGTGCGTGCCTGTAGTCCCAGCTACTTGGGAGGCTGAGGCAGGAGAATTGCTTCAACCCAGAGGCAGAGGTTGCAGTGAACTGAGAGGGTGCGTTGCCCTCCAGCCTGGGCAACAAGAGTGAAACTCTGTCCAAAAATTAAAAAATAAAAATAAAAATAAAAATAAATAAAAATAAAAGCTGAGTTGTATGTATAACATTACTCGATTTCAAGACTCATTATCAAAGTAAAAGTATGCTGAGACTTGGTCTTTTTCTCGAGAGGACTTCTTCTTCAATTTTTAACATCTAGTCGTTTTACTAAGATTTGTTTTAGAGAAAAATGTTGTTGAACAGTTTTCCCAGGTTCATGGTGGTTCCTTTGAATATATGGATTAGGTCTTTTATTTCTGGACAGTTGTCTTAGATTATACTTTTTTGTTTTTTTGAGACAGAGTTTCACTCTTGTTATCAAGGCTGGAGTGCAATGGTGCGATCTCAGCTCACCGCAACCTCCGCCTCCTGGGTTCAGGCAATTCTCCTGCCTCAGCCTCCTGAGTAGCTGAGATTACAGGCACGTGCCACCATGCCCAGCTAATTTTTTGTATTTTTTTAGTAGAGACGGGGTTTCGCCATGTTGACCAGGATGGTCTCGATCTCTTGACCTCGTGATCCACCCACCTCGGCCTCCCAAAGTGCTGGGATTACAGGCTTGAGCCACCACGCCCGGCTAGATTATACTTTTTAATATTAGATTTATTCCACTGTTTTTTCTTCTGTAAGGACTGCAATAACATATATACTACATTATACTATTTTTTTTTTTTTTTGAGACGGAGTTTCGCTCTTGTTACCCATGCTGGAGTGCAATGGCACGATCTTGGCTCACCGCAACCACTGCCTCCCGGGTTCAGGCAATTCTCCTGCCTCAGCCTCCTAAGTAGCTGGGATTACGAGCACACGCCACCACGCCCAGCTAATTTTTTGTGTTTTTAGTAGAGGTGCAGTTTCACCATGTTGACCAGGATGGATTCGATCTCTTGACCTCGTGATCCACCCACTTCGGCCTCTCAAAGTGCTGGGATTACAGGCTTGAGCCACCGTGCCCAGCCCTATATTATACTTTTATTTATTTATTTCATTGTAGATCATCTTTATCTAGAACTTTCTGATCCAATTTTCTTTTTTCGTACTTTTAAAATTGTGACTATTTCTCTCTTGTTTCATTGTCCTTTACAATGCTGTTTATTCCAGTTTCAGTCAAGTATAGTTTCTTCTTTGGCTTTGTGTTAGTCTACTCAGGCTGCTGTAACAAAGTTCAACAGACTGGATAGTTTAAATAAATTTTCTCACAGTCGTGGAGGTTGGAATTCCAAAGTCAAGGTGACAGCAGGTTTGGTTTCTGATGAGGTCTCTCTCCTTGGCTTGCAGATGACATTTTCTTGTAGTGTTCTCACACAGCCTTTTCTCTCTGCATTTGACCAGTGGTTGGGCGTAAGGGGTAGAAAGCAAGCTTATGCATATGCTTTCCAGTCTCTTCCTCTTCTTATAAGGGCACCAATGCCATTGTATTAGTGTCTTACCCTTATGACTTCATTTAACTTTAGTTAATCTCCTTAAAAGTCCCCATCTTCCAATACAGTCACACTGGAGGTTGGGATTTTAACATATACATTTTTTGGGGGGGACAATTTAGTCCATAACAGATTCCTTAATAAGGAATGTCTTTAATAAGTCCTAAATTACAAGTCTTATTTTCTGTGGTTACTGTCCTCTTTACAACCTCATTCCTGAATTTGATTACCCTTTGCCTCTTTAGTTTGCATGCAATCCAAGTCTCTTCTTTTGGATTTCCCAGTAGCGTGAGCTTTAATCTACATGAACTCAGAAGTCTTCTGAGTATTTTCCCACTCATAGTGAAACTTTCCCTTTCTGGGAGTAGTTTTGTGTTTCATGCCCTCTGGGCTCTCTGTGTCCTCTATTCTACATGATCACTACAGTCTCTGGCTGACTCTTTGTAGGCATGGGCTGTTACTTTTTGCTGTATTTGAATATTTATTTCTTAGTGGTGATTTGAAATTAGTAATATTCTCTATCTCCTAGTTATGCTAAAGTCATGGGTTATTACAAATAATATTATTTGCTCCACTTAGGCTGACCTTTATAGTTCTTGGGGGGATGCATGGGAAATGCATACATGTAAGCAGTTGCTGTTACTCTTTTTACATTAGAGACCAAATGTGTGTATTCAAATGTTAAATTCCTCTCTGTTTTTCCACTAGCCCAGGCCTTTTATTTCTGGTTTTGTGTTTTTTCACCCCAAGCTCATGAAATACAAAAAACATGTACTTGCAGTTATGTTCATCTCTGGAACTTGGCCAGAAAACCAGCATCAGCTACAACATAAGGCATTTGTATAGAGATCTCATTCCCTAAGAAATGTTTTGGTATTTATATGCTAAGATTAATTTTGCTTGTTTCTAGAAGTCTGGACAGCTGATCACCTAAAAGAGAGGAGCCAAGAAAACCAATCTAAACATTTGTGGGAAGTTGTATTCATCAATAATGAAATGCTGACTAAGGAACGAGGTAAAGTAATAGGAATACCATTTAACTTGGATGTAAGTTCTTTTCCTTCCAGAAAAATGTTCTGTCAGTGTGACTCATGTGGAATGAGTTTCAACACTGTTTCAGAATTGGTTCTCAGTAAGATAAACTATTTAGGAAAAACGCCTGATGAATTTAATGCCTGTGGGAAGTTGTTACTCAATATTAAGCATGATAAAACTCATACTCAAGAGAAAAATGAAGTTTTGAAAAATAGGAACACTCTGAGTCTTCGTGAGGACACTTTGCAGCATGGGATGATTCAAACTTTAGAGCACAATTTTGAATATAGTATATGTCAGGAAACCATCCTTGAAAAGGCAATATTCAATACACAGAAGAGAGAGAATGCAGAAGAGAATAACTGTGAATATAATGAATTTGGGAGAACTTTCTGTGATAGTTCTTCCCTCTTGTTCCATCAGATACCTCCCTCAAAGGCCAGTCACTATGAATTTAGTGATTGTGAGAAGTCCTTATGTGTGAAGTCTGCCTTTTCTAAACATGAGGTACCTATGAAACACTATGATTGTAGTGAAAGTGGGAATAATTTCAGGAGGAAATTGTGTCTGTCACAGCTTCAGAAAGGTGATAAAGGAGAGAAACACTTTGAATGTAATCAATGTGGGAAAGCTTTCTGGGAGAAGTCACATCTCACGCGACATCAGAGGGTGCACACGGGAGAGAAACGCTTTCAATGTAATGAATGTGGGAAAACTTTCTGGGAGAAATCAAACCTCACTAAACATCAGAGATCACACACAGGGGAGAAACCTTTTGAATGCAATGAATGTGGGAAAGCCTTTAGCCATAAGTCAGCCCTCACATTACACCAGAGAACACATACAGGGGAGAAACCCTATCAATGTAATGTGTGTGGGAAAACTTTTTACCAGAAATCTGACCTCACTAAACATCAGAGAACACACACTGGGCTGAAACCGTATGAATGTTATGAATGTGGAAAATCCTTCTGTATGAATTCACACCTTACAGTACATCAGAGAACTCACACAGGTGAGAAACCTTTTGAATGTCCTGAGTGTGGGAAATCCTTTTGTCAAAAGTCACATCTTACACAGCATCAGAGAACTCACATAGGAGATAAACCTTATGGATGTAATGCATGTGGGAAAACTTTCTACCACAAGTCAGTACTCACCAGGCATCAGATAATTCATACAGGGTTGAAACCTTATGAATGTTATGAATGTGGGAAAACCTTCTGCTTGAAGTCAGACCTCACAGTACATCAGAGAACTCACACAGGGGAGAAACCCTTTGCATGTCCTGAATGTGGGAAATTCTTCAGCCATAAGTCAACCCTCTCTCAGCATTACAGAACACACACAGGGGAGAAACCCTATGAATGTCATGAATGTGGAAAAATCTTTTACAATAAATCATACCTAACTAAACATAATAGAACACATACAGGGGAGAAACCCTATGAATGCAATGAATGTGGAAAAACCTTCTGCCAGAAGTCACAACTCACTCAGCATCAGAGAATTCACATAGGGGAGAAACCCTATGAATGTAATGAGTGTGGAAAAGCCTTCTGTCATAAGTCAGCTCTAATTGTACATCAGAGAACCCATACAGAAGAAAAGCCCTATAAATGTAACGAATGTGGAAAATCTTTCTGTGTGAAGTCAGGACTTATTTTACATCAAAGAAAGCACACAGGGGAGAAACCCTATGAATGCAATGAATGTGGGAAATCCTTCAGTCACAAATCATCACTCACAGTACATCACAGGGCTCACACAGGAGAGAAATCTTGTCAATGTAATGAATGTGGGAAAATCTTTTACCGTAAATCAGACCTTGCTAAACATCAGAGATCACATACAGGGGAAAAGCCCTATGAATGTAACACATGCAGGAAAACCTTCTCTCAAAAGTCAAACCTCATTGTACATCAGAGAACACACATAGGAGAAAAACATTATTAATGAAATGGATATTAGAAATTTCCAGCCACAAGTCAGCCTCTACAATGCCTCAGAGTATTCACATTGTGGAGAAAGCCCTATTGACATCCTGAATGTTTAGTAACTATCCACAAACTTGCCTTAAATTACTCCAAAGTAACAGCAGGAAATAAACCCATAGACTACAACAATTATAGGACAGCCTTTGTTAGGAAGTTACATTCTATTGAATATCAGATGGTTAATACTGGCATAAAACCTTACAGAATTTTTTGAATTTCTGAAAGTTTTTGGCAAAAATACAAACAAGATTATGTTAGAGTTTACACTGTGGAGAAAAGTGTCAATTTAAGAAATCTAAAGTGAAAATTTTGCTTAGCAATAAAATATAACAAGTTGTTTTCTGTTTGATGCCGTAACAGTTTTTAGGGCACCTAACAATAATTTATGGATGTATATTGTAGAATGTAAAGCTTTAAGGACTTAAAAAAAGTAATAATTAAAATAACCTCACAAGAAGTTGTAATGAGTACAGAGAATTCCCGTGTACACTTCACCAAGCTTCCTCTGAGGATAATATATAATCATAGTGTATGGTCAAGTCCAAGAAATTGATGTTACCATGCTAGTAGATACAGACCTACTAAGATATTACCATGGTTTGCATGTATCATGTATGTGTGTGTGGTTATATCAAACTTTTACCACTTTTACATTTGAGTAACCATCAACACAATTAACTGGAAAGGAATCTGAGATCCATATTGTATCAGGATTACAAAGGAATCAGGATTTAGCCTCAAGTAGTTAATAACCATACCCTTTCTGCAATCCTATCCCTGGCATCCACTTTGAATATGAAGCTTTTTTTTTTAAGCACAGATAAATTGAATAATCAGGGCAATAGCATTAAACACATCTGTGAATTATCCCTGAAGTTCATAGGACTTACATATATGCAAGTGCTATGTGATATAAACCATGTGCTTCATATGCATAATGGAATTTAACATAATTGTGAATAAGAAGTAATTCCATAATTGTGAATAAGAAGTAGGTATCCCTAGTTTAGTAGTGGTTACATCATCAGGCCCATCCCAGATGTTTGTCATGTTATGAAACAATTTAAAGGAGACCCACAGAGCTAATTTTTATCCATTTAAAGTACAGTAATGTCAAAATAACAAATTGTCCAAAAAACAATCTGTCCTGTACATGTGAAAATGTAGGCCTGCCTCCATGTTACTCCCTTTTTCGTCTCATCCCACACCATGAAGTGCCTGGGGTACCTATGTGAACACTTCAGCCTTCAGCCTAAATGATAGTCCAAATTTTCTTTAAGCAGCTGCTCTCTAAGACAAGGCCCTAGAAAGAGGCCCACACATATAATATAGTACAGTTGCTGTCCAGGGCTGTTGGACTGTCATTTCAAGGCTCAGTGTACCCAGACAGGGATCTGGGTCCTCAGAGACTTTTGAGAATATGAAGAGGAGGGTTGAGGCTGGAGCAGAGCCAGGATCAAGGTGGCGTGGAGCTTAATTTATTGACAGTGTGAAGACTGTTCACTATATTACATGATCAGATCATACAAATAATCTAAGATTATGCAGTCTAGTGATCCTAGCTTACACAAGTAATCTAAGCTTCCACTTTAGGGAACTAGAAAAAGAAGAGCAAATTAAATCCAAAGTAACCTGGAAAAAAATGAGAGTAAAAAAGAGTGAAATTGAAGAAAGAAAATCAATAAAACCCAAACCTTGTTCTTTGAAAGGTCAGTAAAATTGATAAACCTCTAGCTAGATTAAGAAAAAAAAAGAAGACAAATATTGCTAATGTCAAAAAATGAAAAGCCATCACAGCTGATCCTGTGATTACCAAAAGTATTATAAAAAATATGGACAACTCTGTCCATAAATTTGTTAGCTAAAATGAACCAATTCCTTGTAAGATGCATTCTCTCAAAACTCATACAAGATAAACCTCAATAGGCATATATACCTGTTAAATACATTGAAGCAGTAATTAATAACCTTCAAAAACAAAGTACTGGGACCAAATGGGTTCACTGATGTGCATTTTTTGAAATACCTAAGGTAGAAATGATACCAAGTCTCTACCATCTCTTTCAGAAAATGAAAGCAGAGATAACACTTACCAACTTATTTTTGTGTGGCCAGCATTACCCTAATACCAAAACCAGGCAAAAATATTACAAGAAAGGAAAACTACAGATCAGTATTTCCAGTGAACACAGATGCAGAAATCCTCAAAATATTAGCAAATCAGGAATGCAAGGCTGGTTCAATATTTGATAATCAGCTCATAGATGACATATGATCATATCAATAGGTACAGAAAAAGCGTTTGACAAAATCCAATGCCCATTCATGATAAAACTCAACGAGGGATACAGAGGAACTTACTCAACTTGGTAAAGAACTACTACAAAAAAAAACTATAGCTAACATCATCCTTCCAACTAGATGCTTTTCTGGTAAGAACAGGAACAAGGCAAGGATATTCCCTCTCACCACTGCTTTTCAACATTGTACTAGAAGTGCTATCTAATGCAGTGATACCAAAAAAAAAAAAAAAAAAAAAAAAAAAAAAAAAAAAAAAAAGTAAATAAAATGCACATAGATTTGGAAGGAGGAAATACAACTGTCTTTCTTAACAAATAACATGATTCTATTTGTAGAGAATTCTAAACAAACACCAGCAAAAACCCTGCTGGCATTAATAAGCAATTATAGCAAGGTTGCAGGATATAGTGCTCAGGCAGATGATAAAAGAAATTAGACATTAAGTCATTAAAAGACACAGAGGATTCCTAAATGCTTATCGTTAAGTGAAAACCAGTCTGAAAAGGCTATTTGTTTATGATTGCAATTATGTGACATTCTGGGAGAGGCAAAACTATGGAGCCAGTGAAAGGACCAGTGGTTGCTGAGCATTCAGGGAAAGGAGGGATGGCAGGTGGAGAGAGATTTGGGGCAGTGAAAGTCTTCTCCAGCATACTGTACTTTATCAAAATGCAGAGAATGGAAAACAGAGTGAACCCTAATGTCAACTCTGGACTTCAGTTGATAATTATTACTATTGGCTCATTAATGGTAACAAATGTACCATCATAATGCAAGATGTTAATAATTGGAGAGCCTGTGGAAGATGGAAGGGGTGAAGGGTTATATGACAATTCTCTGTACTTTTTGCTCAATTTTTCTGTAACACTGAAGCTACTCTAAAAAAATGAAGTATATTAAGTAAATAAATAAGTGAATAACCAACGAACCTGACTAACATCTTGTTTCTGTACTGGGGTGTTCTTTTATTAGTCATATGTTTCTGACTGAACTTGTAATCACCATTAATTAACATTTGAATTGCTTTTATATGTCCTGAATATATTTCAAATTATGGTAACTGGCCTGAAATTAAGGTCTAGTATTCTTGGTTCTTTTGATATCTGAAGCTGAAAGGGCCTCAAATGATCTAACCTTGTTTCCATTCCCACCGTGCTTCCATAGGTAAGGTAACTTAGCAGACAATCCTCCCTGTCTGGGGAGCTAGGCGCAGTTCTTGCTTATTCCTAAATAGTAAGATTTGCTTCCTTGCCAACTCTTGGAATTATTTATCGAATCTCTCACATCCTCCCACAGCAAACAGTGGTCACTGTACTCTCTGGATAATACAGCTGCTCACCACAGCCCCTGCTTTTCCTCTCTGCTCCCAAGCAGAACCCTGTGTGGCTCCGCCTGGCATGTAGTCTTTCTTACCTTTCTGAGAGTTGGTGTCACTGATAAACTCACCTAGATCTTATCTGTCCAGTGTCAGGTGTTCAGCATTCAACTTTTCTATAGCACCAGGGTGGGGATACCTCTTCACCATCAAGGTGAAAAGTAGTTACAACCATTGGCATAAACAGGATGGCCCATCAAAGCCAGGGTCATCTAGTACAGTTTTAACTAACTGCTCTTAGCCAACTGACAGGTTCCATATTATGGCAAATGCTTTTTGGACAGAACCACCAGATACTGGCAGGTTTGCACTTTGGTCTTTGTTGTAATGCACTTTTCTTCGGGGAGGTGAGTGTCACATCTCTTCCCATCCTAAAATGCTCTTGTGTGCAGAATAAGAGTGCTCACTCATTGGCTGTATCCCTGCATGAGTTGACTTGGGCTTAACCTGTTTAGCAAGCGGTCTCTGAGGCTCCCACTTGTAAAGGTAGTGATCACGCTGCACATGAACTAATCAGCACTTGAGCCCCACTTTCCAGGGGTCTGGCTGGAGCTCTTTGGTTATCGTCACTGGCTGCATGGAACATTCCTACAGAACATTGTTGGTTATTGCACACCCCTGGGTCGTGCATGCAGATGGCCTATTGTGAGGTTTGTGGAAAGGCAGGAGACCACTGAGGGAGGTGAGTGTGGAACTCCACTTGCCTGAGAAGGCATTCAGGAAGGGTAGTACTTCGCACCCCTCTCCTGTTCTGCTCCTTCACTTGCTGCCATCACACATGCTCTCCTGACCCCTCAGAGTGTCAAGGTGCACATCCATGGTGGCTCATGGCCCAGGTGCTGTGAAAAGAGAGAAAGTTACCAGTTCTCCCCAGATTACCAGAGGAATTAACTGTTCTGCCCTCCCAATGCAGAACTCCTCACCTGTGTGCCTGAGCGTGGCCTGGCACTGCTGCTTGCCAACATCCCACTGGGTGAACCTTACATTCATGGGGCCTGATGGCCTGCACCTGGGCCACAGACCGCATGACCTTACCCTGACCATAGGGAGAGTGACTGTGACATCCACTATGCTTTAGAGTGTTTGTGCCCTTTCCAAAAATCACGTTGAAGCCAGGTGTGGTGGCTCACACCTGTTATCCCAGCACTTTGGGAGGATCACTTGAGGTCAGGAGTTCGAGACCAGCCTGGCCAACATGGTGAAACCCTCTCTCTACTAAAACACAAAAATTACCCAGGCATGATGGTAGGTGCCTGTAATCCCCAGCTACTTGGAAGGCTGAGGCAGGAGAAGCTTGAACCCAGGAGGCAGAGGTTGCAGTCAGCTAAGACTGTGTCACTGTACTCCAAACTGGGCAACAGAGCAAGACTCCATCTTAAAAAAACAAAAAACAAAAAACCAAGGTCATGTTGAAACTGAATCCACAGTGCAATAGCTTGCAAAGGTTTGGCCTTTGGGAGGTGGTAAGGTCATGAGGGCTCCACCTCATGAATTAGTGATCTTAGGAGCAAGCTGGAGAGAACACACTAGACCCCTTTTTGCCCTTCCCCTTTCTGACATATGAGGGCCCAGTGTCACTCCCCTTGAGAGGAAACAGCAAGGAGGGGCTGCCTTAGAAGCCAATACTTGGCCCTCACCAGACACTCACTTTTCTGATGCCTTCATCTTGGATTTCCCTGCCTCCAGAGCTGTGAGAGGTAAATTTCTATTGTTTATAAACGACCTAGTCTCCGATGGTTTGTTATAGTAGCACAAACAGACAAAGACAAAATGTCTCTTGGAAATTTGGCATTTGACCGTCCATACTATAGTCTCATCTCTGCACATGAAAAATATGTTGGGGCACTACTGAAAAAATTAAGGCCAACACCCAACAGCATGGTCCCAATGCTGCCTAAGACATTTGTCAGATTATTTTCAGGGGAAACTGTGAGATTATAATGAGTGCATGTGTGTGTGTGCATTGCCCTATGTGTATGTGAGGTGGGGTTGGGAGAGAGATTTATAATGCATACCCTAGTTAATAGAATCAATCTGAAAGATTGCTTGAGTCCAGGAATTCAAGGCTGCAGTGAGCTATGATGATGCCACTGCACTTCAGCCTGGGTGACAGAGTGAGACTCCATCTCTTTAAAGACAAACAAAAAACAATATGAAGAGAAGTATCCTGTGCCGATCATCTGGAAGTAAACTGAATTTGGAATAGGCACACCCTAGAGAAATCCTTAAGCATCTATGTCTGTGTGTAGTAATAACAGACTGGCATCTTTACAGATACAAGCTATGAACTAGAGCAAAGCATCCTGGTTCTGGTCCCACAGGTTCACATGGAAAGGAGACAGTACAAATGAATGCAAGAATTGTGGGAAAGACAGGCATCTTGATAAAGAAATCACATTTCTTTTTTAAGGACATTTTTAAGGTACCAGTGGAAGCAGACATAGCTTGGTATTCCACAGTGTATTCTCAGAAGGTACCACTTGAAGAGAGGAGACACAAAGACAATCAAGAGGCTTAAACTTGACAGAAATTTATTTATAACAAAAGGGACAGCTTTGTGCATAGCTGTGCATATAAATTTGCAAAATGCTAACTGTGAAAAGATGAATATCCTGCCTTGTTCGGTGATTTCAGGGAGTTGCTGTTTTGCATTTCCTTGTCATGTTCTCTGTCTACATGTTTAAAGGGAGGATTACATGTGAACACTATTCAGTATTATCCATCTAAGCTTGTGTTATCAATCATTGGTAGATAGATAGTGAGATAACTTCTAGTTCTCATCTCCACCAGTAAAAGCTAAGATGGAAACTCTTTCTGATGAACTCACATGAAGAAGAAATATAGCACCCCCATTTTCTCTGCATCAGCCTGCCTTCAGGCTCACCCTGTGAACTCATCAGAAGTGGGTGAAGTGCGGATGTGTTTCCTTTACCTATTCTCACCTTGGGTTCAGTTCTAGTTTGTGCACTGTACAGACTGCTCAGGAGGTGGCAGTCACAGGGAGGAGGTCATGTTTGTCATAAAAATGCTTTGGCTTCTTAGGATGCAGCAAAGATATCCACTGCCTGGTGTCCATGGTGCCTACACGACAGTGTGGAGCTCAGAAACAATCACTTAAGCCATGAAGTGAGGTCAGAACTTAAGCAGTGTCTGCAAGGCAGAGAAAAGACACTCCTTTTGGGTTTCTAAGTGGTCAGTTTCCTCTTGCATTAGTCTTGTTCCAGGACATGTACAGACAGAATCACCACAATGAAGCCCGACAGATGTCACTTCTGCCGATGAGGGAATGAAGCTGGAACCTCTTAGGTCTTCTGACATTCTTATTTTCCTTTCTCTTTCTTAGACATGGGCTCAGAATCCATGTGTCCCCTTGTTCATCCTCCTGTGGGTCACGCTACTTCATCTTGGGGAGGAGACCTGATGGAGTAGTGAGAAGGACACCTTCTTGCTCCTAAACCTGAAGCCCTAGTGAGCTCTGCAGGGCATCAAGCAGAGCCTGAAACTCTTCTTGGTTGAGGGCCATGGAGGGTTCTCCTGTTCTAATTCTAAATGATGATGCTGATTTCTGAAACTCTGAAGTTGTTAGGAGTTCATCTAAAAGGTATGAGGTGAGGCTGCGCATGATGGCTCATGCCTGTAATCCCAACACTTTTGGAAGCCAAGGTGGGTGGATCACCTGAGGTCAGGAGTTCAAGATCATCTGGCTAACATGTTGAAATCCTGTCTATATTTTGCTAAAAATACAAAATTTAGCAGAGTGTGGCTGTGGGAAGCCCAGCTACTCGGGAGGCTGAGGCAAGAGAATTGCTTGAACCTGTGAGGCGGAGGTCACAGTGA